CCAGGATCTGCCTTGATCAGGTGTACCTGCTTGCCTGCCCTCAGGATGCTGTCGCAAGATCTGCTTTGATCAAGTGTCCCTCCTTAACTGCCCTCCAGACCAGTCGCCCACATTCTAGACCACCATGGAGACTCCTGCATGTCCAGGCAGCCCCCTAATGATATTGATGCCTGAACGGACTCGAACTACAACTATTCTACCATAGACATTTCATAGTCACTTGCCTCATACTACACTGAGTTCTTCACATTTTCATAGTAACATGTTGACATCATGATAGACTGCTTGACATCAGTAGTCATTAATTTTCATGAATTAAAACTTTTACTTTCACTGTGATATGCTTCTAACAGTAGTCACTGTTATTCATAGATCAATTTCTCATTTGGCACTCTGATTTCTTTTTTAAAGTAGCCATAGGTTATCATTGCTTGATCTAAATACTTCTGTCCAATGACAGGCTTCTAACAGCAATCACTGGTTTTCGGAGATCTATTTCACATTTGCTACTCTGAGAGGCTTCTAACAGTAACCACTGGTTATCACTGGCTAATCTAAACACTTCTGTTCACTGACAGGCTCATTTCTTACCTTTTTTCCCATGTTCATGATAATGCATTAATTTTCAATTATTTATCCTTATTTCATATTGCTGCTTATTGTTTTGATATTGTTTCCTCTCAAGATGTCTTCCTTATTTTTCTTGCCAGTGTTGCTTTTGGTTTGCTCATTTGGGGCTTGGAACTGGATTTCTGTAAAGATGCTTCGTGACAACAGCTGTTGTAAAAAGTGCTGTATAAATAAATCTTAAATTCAACTAAACTGAATATCGCCCCATACACTTACCATATTGTACTACAGTCTATCGTAATAAATATTTGTATCATATGCATTACACAGAGAGCAAGTTTGTATTTCATATTTTTGTGAGGCACTGCACTGACTTCTGTATGAATAACTAAATGCACTACACCTAAACATTAGTTTTCATCTTAGACACTCCACTCAGAAAGATACATGGACCATCTGGTAAATATTGTACACTTCTGTACATTTTTTTCGCCCTTGCTTATCAACCCAACAGCTAGCTAGTCAACAGTAGCAAGCAGTTGTCTACCCTCCACACTGTGACAATGCCGAGCCTTCATGGCATCCTGTCTTTATTCACTAATTTGTCTGATGTAGCTAGTAGTAGGTATATAAAACCATTGTGTGTTTGCCAATTGCTACAACACTTGATTTCCCAGTGTGTTTTTGTTATACCACTGAAAACTGCTTGCCCTGGCATGTCACGCTAACCCCGAATTCACCCCAGACTTGACATAGCAGCATCACGTAAGGTATGAACATTACCTATTTTTTTATTGTCCTTTTTGTTACTAAGCAGGTTTAAAACCTGACAGCACAAACAGCAGATCTTGTATAGTGAAGAAATCACAATCACAAGTTTTTAACCAATGTTCCTGACCGATAAAATGGAAGCGCATTTGTTCAGTTACAAAAATGACTAAGATCTGGTGTGAACTGGCCCTAAGACAGCACTTTGTGTTTTGCTTGTCAGCCAAGTGACCCCTTCCTATCAAAGCAGGTGGTTCCTGGTAATGTTGAGTGATGAAACTTAACAGACTGACTGGTGCTAGACAGAAGTCTGACTGGCAAAACTACACCTTAGAAACCAAAAGCTAATATTTTAGCTCTTTACTTTTTTGACACAAAATGTCTTGATAATGTAATAATATCATGTTTTCCATCATCAGTGGACATTTGCTCCCCACAAAGAGCTAAATAAATGGCCACGCACTTACACTCCTGAGATCACTTACCAACATCATTCTCTACATCCCACTCCTTCGCTCTCCTTTTCTCTCGCTCTCACTCACTGCCTGCCTCCACTTTCCTCACCCCTTTATCTCTCTTTGTCTTCCTCTTTGACGCTCTCAACTCCTCTCCCTGCTCGCTCAATCTTTCTTATCTGCTCTCCTCACTTTCCCTCCTCCACGTCTCCCCATTTATTCTCACCCTCATTTATAAACAGCTTTCCGCGCAGTACATAAAGCGCCTCTATTAAACTGACGCAGCAGAAGAACCTGCAACAAATTGGCTGTGTTTTCTCCTGATTTTGCGCTTCGCAGCCATCCCAGGCATAAAAAACATCTCGAAGAGCAAAAAAAAGAACGTTTTTTGGAGCAAAGCAGCAAGAAAAAAAGATTGAGGGCCCTCTCCTCGTAGTGTTGCTCCATCTGCTTTTCTGCTGACTCAACGTCTCTTCTCCTGCTTCTTCTTCTCCTCGTGTTCTTCTTCCATTTGGTTGCCTGTTGGCCATCTTCCTTTCATTTACTTCTCTCTTTATCCTGAGTACGATTTTCACGGGTGAGCTTAAATATGATACAGTTGAAGCGCATGTTAAAAGAGCAGTTCTGCTCATACCAAATGCAGTCAACTACTCAGGATGTGTTTAATGTCTTAAGTTTACTTCTTCAGTAGCGTTGTACGAACTGAATGTCTTATTTAACACATAAATTTGCTCCAGTTGTGAAGTTGTTAAAGTTGCACTATATAAGTTTTGGGGATTTAGAGACCTCTCTGGTGGAAAGGTGTAATTGCGCATAATGTGCAAAAGAACCCTTCCTTAGGACCCCTTCCCCGAGCAGATGAATCTGATTATTGTGAGAGCGCTGAAAAAGTATTCAACGGTAACTCAATCAAAACATTTTTAACCACCATTTCTCATTTTCATTACCATTAAAATTATTTGTGAAGTCTTTGATTTTGACACTGGTAGGTCTACTTAATATTTGCTTTTCTGTCAAAATTTTCTGACCATTTTAGAACATTTTTGGCCAAAAGGTTTGCCAGCCATCAAATCAGTGAACTGCTAAAACAGACATGTGGTTGTAAATGGACTTTCAGAGCTACTGTCCACTTGTAGGACCTAATTACCAAATTAATCTATTGTCTAAGCACAACATGACACATGATGTTGATCCAAAAACATTTGGGGGTTTGGAAGTAAGACTGGTTTGGAACAAAAAATACTGTTATTAACAGTAACCAGAGATTTCAAGTGTACGTTTTTTTTTCTGGAACCATTAAGAATGATTATGTTTTAGGTTAACTTTTGGTTCCTAGTACATAAAAAACATTTGTTGTATAGCTAAAAGCAGTAGTAGCCTAAATTTTGTACTTTTGCCTACTTTTCACAGATAAGTGTGTCATATGCTGTCAGAAACCACATAAGCAATTTAAGACTATGTAATAACGACACATTTTGGGGCAAGTGTCTAATGATTTAGGCATGTAGTTTGCTTATTTGTGGGGTATTCGCTTCCATTACTTGTTAGCTACTTTGGGCACCAAACATTTAGGGTAATAATGATATAAATAGATAATGTTCATGTGTAAGTCACCAAACTATTCCTTTAGCCTCTGCCCATCTTCCTCTTAGCCTGCACGGCTGCCTGGGATGGTCTGTCCGTCCCCTTTCTTCCGTTACGAGACAGCCGGGCGGAGCAAGAGAGGGGAAAAAGGAAGAAGAACGGAGAGGGGAGACGTCCTCTGAAGTACAAGGGAGCATCAAAGGCGACACGCTTCGCCAAATGCAGCGATGGAGAGAGAGAGGGAGCGAGGGATGGCGGCCGGGATGAAAGATGACATTCCCACCCACCTGGGCTCTCGGAGATGCCTCGTTAAGGCGCCGCGTTTGATGGCTGCCTTTACCGGGCGAAGAAAGGGAAGAAAAAGGGAGATAGAAGGAGAGAGGGGGCCGCCTCGAGAGACCTAATTCCTTACATAACTGCTCAATAATAAATCAGCCCTGCTGCTGCTCCTGCTGAAAGGTGCAATGCCTGAAGTCGCCATTAGCACTGGAGAATGAGGCAGTGCCGTAGCAGTGCTTTGGATCAAAGATTAGATGGTCAGGCGGGAGAGGGACGGAGCATAAGGGTAACCGTTTTGAAATTTATGATTTCAGATGTTGCTAGCAAAGGTCAATGACATTAGCATTAGTTAGTTAACATCACCTTAGGTAAGTCTTTACAAAGTATGTTTTGGATGCGCTATTAAAAGCCGGTTTTAACCCAGACGCATCACACTCTACTGCTGTCAGAATGTTTCTAAGATAGTTTCCTTTTTAACCAGTTGCGAGTGAAAAGTGTAGCAGTAGTGTATTTTCTTCATGGTTTTTGGTGCCATGTCGCTCGCAGCAAGCGGTACAAATTAGATTTGAAGTGCGATAGCCGTGCACTCACATTTGACATGCCCATTGTGTTACACAAAAGTTGGCTACTTCAAACACATTGAGCACTTTGTTAACTTGTGAAAATGTACCTCACTGCCCAACATTGTCAAAAATGTCTGTTTATGGCATCTCTACAACAGTGGCATAAGTAGAGTGCAATAAAGAAATAAAGGATCTGAAGTGGGCTTCCTATAATGAATACACAATCCTCTCAAAGGTGACTGGGTCGACATTGATCCCAATCTGCTTGATCGGATCGGGACACTACTTAAGAGAACAATCCACACTTCAACACACCATTCAGGTTTACATTCTGATGCACTTAGTGTTAAGGTAATAGTGTTTGCTGACTTCCTTCTGACAAGGAGCACAAGGTGTAACTGTCAGTAAGCTAACGTTACTCTTACCAAATGCTACCAAAGCGACGTGGTAGTACATTTATCCTCATCTGGAAGAGTAAAAAATTTGCTAAATCATGTTACTATAGGTCTTTCTGATGCAGCACAAATTACAAAGCTTAAAAAAAAGAACAAAATTGTACCTTTTTTCAAATAGTTTTCGTTGATGTGGAAATATTTGGACTTACGGAAAGTGATAACATTGTGGCTTCACTTTCAGTGTGAAGAATTAATAAGGATATAATTATCTGGATATGAGATAAAGAGAAGACGATGATGATAACCATGGTAGACTGCCCTGAGGCCATTCTGATGTTGAACCTATAGCATTGTCAAGTCCGTTGACCCCAGCAACGGTCCCTTACCGTACACCAGCAGCATGTAGTGGTCAGCGGCACGGCCGTAATTGTTATGTGCCTGACACAGGTAGGTGCCGTTATGGGACTGGCTGAGACGAGACATGACGAGGGTGTTGCCAGATATCTCTGCCCTCTCTGGTAGAGTGTCGTTCACTCGTGACCACTGGATGTTACGTGGCCTGGAGAGAGAGAGAGAGAGAGAGAGAGAGAGAGAATAAAAAGAAGACATGCTGAACCTCATTTGGCTCACTATGAGACATAATACACTAGCTGGGTATCTGCAGGTATCAGCAAATTTAATACAATGCTTTTTAATGCCACACTGAGGCATTTTTAATGGTGCTTTGAGCCACTTGTTGCCCATTAAGGCTAAATTTACACAGCATGGTGTATAACCAAAACCAAGCAGAAAATCTTGATGAGAGAGAAGTCCACAAAGTTCTTGTCTTACTAGTAGAGAGGGCCACAGTGGTAACCATGATGTTTGATAGTTAATGTTAGGATGGAAATATGTGATAGACGCCTTCAGTTGACTAATCTTAGTCTAATCATATGGATGGATCATGCATGACAGTCTTCACAGCCCTAAAACCCAATGTGTCTAACCAGAGATGTTCACAAGTCATTCTGGTCTAGAGTCTGAGGTATGAGACCTGGTCAAATCTAGAGCCTCTGCAGAGCGAGTTAAAGACACATTTTAAGACTCTGAAGTGTGCGTCTGAGTTGAGTCATGAGTTTCTGACATGTGAGTCTGAGTCAAGTCTCAAGCTGCTAAAATGTGTGTCTGAGTCGAGTCTTGAACCTCTGGGGTAAGATTTCAAGTCAAGTCTGAAGTCTCTGAGATACAAGCCTGAGTTAAGTCTAGAGTATCTGAGGTGCATGTCTGAGTAGAGTCTAGAGTCTCTGAGGTGCAAGTCCAACTGGGGTCTCTAGCCTCTGAGGTGCAAGTCAGAATTGAGTCTCAAGTCTCTGAGATGGAAGTTGAGTCTCAAGTCCTTGAGATGCGAGTCCAGGTTGAGGTTTGAGGTCTGAGATGCAAGTCAGACAAGGGTCTCTAATCTCTGAGGTGCGATTTTGAGTCGAGTTTTTAGTGTTTCAGGTCTAAATCAGACCAGGCTCTCTAGTTGAGGTGTTCAGGTCAAGTTCAGAGTCTCTAAGGTGTGAGTCCGAGTCACATCTCAAGCCTCAAAGTGTGAGTGCAGGTCAAGTCTTGAGTCTCTGAGCTGTGAGTCCAAGTCAAATCTAGAGTCTCTGAGGTGCGAGTTTGAGTTGAGTTTTTAGTCTTTGAGATCTACATGAGACCAGGGTCTCTAGCCTCTGAGGTGCGAGTTCAAGTCAAGTTCAGAGTCTCTAAGGTGCGAGTCCGAGTCACATCTCAAGCCTCAAAGTGTGAGTACAGGTTAAGTCTTGAGTCTCTGAGGTGTGAGTCCAAGTCAAGTCTAGAGTCTCTGAGGTACGAGTTTGAGTCGAGTTTTTAGTCTTTGAGATCTACATGAGACCAGGGTCTCTAGCCTCTGAGGTGCGAGTTCAAGTCAAGTTCAGAGTTTCTAAGGTGCGAGTCTGGATGCACATCTCCGAGACTTGACTCAGCTTTGAGACTTGACCCGGATTCGCACCTCAGAGACTCAAGACTTGACTCTGTCTTGCATCTCAGACACTTGAGACTTACCACGGATTTGTACCTCAGAGACTTAAGACTTGACTTGGACTCATGCCTTGAGTCTAGGTTGAGGTTTGAGTCTCTGAGGTGCCAGTCAGAGTCAAGTCTCAAGCCTCAAGGCGTGAGTGCAGTTGAGTCTTGAGTCTCTGAGGTGCGAATCCGGGTCAAGTCTCAAAGCTGAGTCAAGTCTCTTAGATGTGCATCCGAAATGAGTCTCGAGTCTCAAACCATTTAAATTATTTCCGTTTTTGTCATTACAATAAAGCTGATGCAGTGACTTTTTCCCTACTTTTCAATGACCCACAGATACCCTGACTACTTCTTGCCTCATGCGGTGCTCTACATAGGAAGTAAAGAGCCTTTTTTGGATTCATCCAAAAATATTTTTAAAATTAAAGACAAAGCTAAGACAATTAACTGCGTTGGTGTTTAACAAAAGAAAAACCTGTATGACACTTAAAGTAACTCATCTTAAACAACAAAAACTCATACATTTTCCATTCACATTGAACTGAGAAGTGAATGAAAAATTTAGCAGTACAAAAAGTGAAGGTTCAGAAAGAGGAGGAGAAAAAAGAGGCTGGGGACCTGGAGCCGAGGCCGAGAGGATAACGGAAGACAGACTGAGGGACAAAGAGTGTGAAGGGAAAGAGATTATGGAAAACACACACACACACACACACACAAAGCCACAGGAAAAGAAAAGATCCTTCATCCTCCCTGGCTAGATTACAATCTCTCTATCAGCTTTGCCAATAATCCCACCGGACACTTTTAATTAAAACCTGCCGGGGACAACCCTACGTCGCACACCTACACACACACACACAGACAATGGACCAAGAAAACAGCCACAGGCTGCTGATAAACACACCCCCCAACAATAGCGGACGGCGGTTAATTGGTGATTAATGTCAGACTAGCAGGATCGTTATGGCTCTATAACGGATACAGCTGCACCATCCTTCATCCCACCAGCCTTACACTCGTTCATCATTATGGAGCTGCTAACTCTCCCCATCCTGTGCTCCACATTCTGGCATTCTGACCACACAGTGGGTAGTGCTAGGCAATAATGGTCAAATTCAATATCACATTCTTTTCCAAATATATCATCACAGTATCACAGCATTTGGGGATATTTGAAGCAGCTGCCCACTGGCTTTGATTATAAGTAGGTTCTAGTCAACAAGTACAATGAAATGTGTCAGCATTACTTTTCAAAGTAACCAAATGTGTAAATATGTGGCAGATTGAGATCAGGGTGAAACATGTTGAACTATTCCTGTAATGAAAGTTAGAGAATGTTGGTACTCTAGGCTAAAAGCCTTACCCAGGCCTTTTCTCTTTCTCTTAGTCTTTCTCTCTCCCTCTCACACACAATCCCAGACTTCCTACTTTCGCCCCTCCTGCGCCTTCATCCCTCCATCTGGCCTGACCACTCTTTTTGTTCGTCCTCTCCAGCACTCATCTTCTCCAAGATCCCGCTGAGCCCATCGGTTTTCTTCCCTCCATCCGTCATCTGTCCGTTCCTCCATAAAAGGCCCAGCGCTGGCAGTCCAGCTTTAAATGTAATATTGCTGTCCCTCAGCTTTACGTTTCTGTTTTGTCCTGTAAGTTAGCTTAGCCTTCAAACTGCATTCACTTTGATGGCCTAGCTGAGCAAACTGTTCAGATCTTTCAGTCCATATTGATGATATCAGCCTGTCAGAAATAGCTACATGCTACCATTTTCAGTTTGGTTCATTTTCAGTCCACTTATTGAAAGTCTGTTGAGACAATTAAATTGAGACATTACATAATTTATGGAGACTTTGCATAATTTCAATTTGTGTATACTTATGTGAGTATATGGCATTTTGTCTCCAACCTAATGTTCTTTAACAACCATTATCCATGTTCTGAATATGCAACCAAGACGGACCAAATTCGTTCTGATGGCGAAATTCGACGTAGGACTATGATGATGTTTACTGGCATTGTGCCAACATCCTCTTGCTACCTAGGTATAAGGCATTCTTATCTATTTGAGACTCAATGGCCCAAACAAATGCAGACACGTTGCAAGAACAAGCACACTTGTGGCCTATCCCAGAACTTCTGAATGTCAGTGCTAAATTAGCTGTAATCAACTATTCTAACAAATGCTGACATTAGTGAACATCTACACATCTACTTATTTAGCTAATGTTAGCTAAAACAGAAGCTAGCTAACTTTAACTTTGCTGGATTATGTTTCCTGGAACCCAGAGCCCACTTTGTTCCCTGCTAGAAAAACTAGCGTAGACCAGCTTAGCTGGTCACCAGCACAACCAGCATTTGTCGTGTTTTGGATGCTGGTCAAGCTGGTTGACCAGCTGAACCAGCACCAGACTAGCATAAACCGTCATAAGCCAGTTTATATCAGGACAGAATTCATGATAGTTTGTGCTATTTTTTCAGCAGGGTTAGCTTCAGATAGGCTACTATTTTTTAGCTAATTGTCTTAGCTAGAGCTACAGCACAAGCTGTCTTAGTTTATCAGCAACTACATTAGCTGGGTAATCAGCTAACGTTAACAATAGCTAACTTACTTAGGTACATCAGCTGGACAGTTTAGAGGGAAATGTGCTAAGCAAAATAATCTCTAGCCAAACCAATGTTCACTGTTGTCAGCGACAGGGTCATATTCTTTTCTTTTTATCTTTGTAGTTGTAGCTAGCTAGCTACAAAATGCTAATGCTAGGTTCCGGCTTGCCACTAATGCTGTGTTCGAGTAAAGCTCGAATCTTCGAAATTTCCATTGTTCATCTCAGGAAAAAAACACAGAAAATACCCATCAACTGGGAATTCCTTCTCGGAAAGTTGGAAAGGTGTTCCCAGCTCTGAGTTCCAAATGGCTGCTTATACTTTCAACAGTACTAAACCTCAATTTCTCTACTTTTATAAATCTATAAATGCATAAGGATCATATCTGCTAGAAAAACCAGCAACTGGTCAACAGCAACACACCATGTTGTGTTGGTTTGATGGTCAGCAGCAATGGAAGTTAACATGCTGGTCACCAGCAAAACTAGTATCTGTCGTGTTTTGGATGTTGGCATGCTGGTCAACCAGTATGACCAAGCTGGGTGACTAGCTAAACCAGCATCAGACTTGCTTAGACCAGCTTAGACCAGCAGGCTCACAAACATTAGCGCATAGTACTCGCTTTCATGGAGGCGTCAATGATTTTTCCTCATTTTGTAGCTTAAATGAGTGGGGTTGAAATAGAATTCAGAGTGCCAACTTTCCACTTCCGAGTTAAATCAAATAATAATAATAATAATAATAATAATTTCTGTGAACGTGCAACATCCCTAACCCGTTTGTCTTGATAGTTTGGATGTTGGTGGTCCTCACTAGTTGCTTTTTCTCCTATCAACAGAGTGTGGGACAACCACAGAGACCAGATTTTTTCCTCTAGACAAATACTTTATTGACAGTTAGAGGAATGTGAGGGTAATTTCATGAGATATTACAAAAAAGTGCACTTAAAATTGCTGATCCTAGATCTGAATGGACTAATAACAGCAATTCCAAGGTGAACACATTTTGTGGCTTCATATTTCATGAGTGTTGTTGGTCTCCTGCTGTTCGGTTAATACTTTAACTTTAATATGTGGTTTTTAGGCTGTGATATAGCTATGCCAGATAACTGTATGGCACTGCATTAACGGTAATGCCTGAAGAAAGACAGCCACCATAGAATAATCGGTTATAAAACCAGATAAGCCTATTTTAGAGAAAACCGTTTATGCCCCCTCAGTCATTTTTTTGCCCTCTTGTCTAATTAATCCTGCTGTTTAACCCTGGTCCTCCATTTCTCAAAGAGTCAGAGAAGAAGGGATCGAGTGAGGGGGTGGGGAAAAAAAGGAATAAGAGGAATAAGGAGGAGGCGAGGCGGGGGCGTTGGTGGGGGGGTGGGCAGGTAGGCCTAGCAGCTTCTGTCCCCTGTGTATTGATACGGTATCTGGGCATTTGCTTTTAAGCTCATATAGATCTTTTCATTTGCTCTTAAGCTCAGCTGGATTGGGCAGATTTTCCATAAGCGGAGTGAATCCCTAGGAAAAAAAAAGGCAAGCTGGCAAGCAGAAAGGAGCTTTTGGTACAGAAACAGTCTCACCCACACACAGATCAACCCCCTTCAGTGTCGTGCACCCACACACGTTCATGAGAAAGCAAAGACACATACACACACACATAGAGAAACTCACAGTGGATTTCCATTGACAGAGCAGGTAAGGCTGAGCGAGTCTCCCTCTCGGAGAATTCCCTGGGGGGGGATGATCCTCACAGTGGGGGCGACTGTGGAGACACACATCAACAGCAACTCAGTGTGGCTTGTCACATTTCACCACATTCGCCTCATCCAGCCATTATGCCGCTGTTTTGGCACAGCAAAGCCAGAAAAGTTACCCAAACGCAAGTACGCAAACGCTTCCAGCTACGCAAAATCAATTTCACACGTCGCTGCGTTCAAAGGCCGAATTACATTTCTGCGTCTGCGGATCTGCGAACATGCGTGAGCATTGTGTGCCGACGGTCACATACTTGTCTGCCAAAATACTCATGCGTGGCGCTGACGTGTGCACTAGGGGGCAGTGTTACATTTACCGATTCAGAATATCCCGAAAAACAAAGAAGAAACTTCAAACCAGCAGGTCTTGTATTACACAATCTAAAGTAATCTCAGCATCATATTGTGGTCAGTGGCATGACCATATAAGGTACTCTGGGTCTACGTAGTTTTTCTCGATGGGGAAAACGAATGAGAAATCAGAAAAATCACCACCTGATTGGCAGATCTAGGAAATTTTGCCAGGGGTGGCAAAGGGGTGGTGGGGTGTTTTAGGCACAGTGGCAATGTGAATGTGTAAGTGGAGGAGGGGGTTGGAGGGAGGTTGGTCAGTTGTGCCACCGATCGTCGATAGCCCAACAACTCTCCTCTTAAAGCTGACACCCACCCCACAGTGAGGTGGAAGCCAAAGGTGTGGCAGAAATGTCGCTTTGGCATCGAGGGTTGCCAATCAGATTTTGTGGAGGGGACTGGCCACGCCAGCCACGAATGGGAAAGCTTGTGATGCTCAACATGATGTCTATTTATGGAAAGTCCTGCCCTTCAATAAACTAAGCCAATCAGCTTGCTGTTTAAGCCGCAAGCAGGAAAAGCTCGACCACAAATACAACAAATATTTCTTGGAGGGAGTTTTTTTCATTCAGTACCTTTTGTGATTATTAATATTAATTAACTGACCAGCCACTTTATTAAGTACCCCTCCTTGTATATACAAGCACAGCCCATTTTATCAGCTTCACTTACAATATAGAAGCACTTTGTGGCTCTACAGTTACAGACTGTAGTCCATCTGCTTCTCTGCATACTTTATTCACCTGTTATTCAGTGGTCAGGACCCCCTCAGGACGTTCACAGAGCGGGTATTATTTGGGTGGTGGATCATTCTCAGCACTGCAGTAACACTGCTGTGGTGGTGTGTTAGTGTGTGTTGTGCTGGTACGAGTGGATCAGACACAGCAGTGCTGCTGGAGTTTTTAAACACCTCAGTGTTGCTGCTGGACTGAGAACCAAAAATATACAGTCAACAGCATCCTGTGGGCAGCGTCCTGTGACCACTGATGAAGGACTAGAGGATGACCAACACAAACTGTGCAGCAACAGATGAGCTATCGTCTCTGACTTTGCATCTATAAGGTGGACCAACTTGGTAGGAGTGTCTAATAGAGTGGACAGTGAGTGGACACAGTGTTTAAAAACTCCAGCAGCACTGCTGTGTCTGATCCACTCGTACCAGCACAACACACACTAACACACCACCACCACATCAGTGTCACTGCAGTGCTGACAATGTTCCACCACCCAAATAGTACCTGCTCTGTGGTGGTCCTGTGGGGGTCCTGGCCACTGAATAACAGGGTGAAAGGGGGCAAAAAGGTATGCAGAGAAACAGATGGACTACAGTTATGCAAATGCTTATAAAAGTGAACCTCTTCGTCAATCTGTCTCAAACTGCTCTGTTGTCTGCTGTGCTTGTCGTCTTTGTGTGTTTTGGTTCTGTTTTGGGTTCCATTCCAAGTTCAATGTTCTTGTTTTGCACAAAATGTAGCTGAGATTTTGGAAGCTAATGTTGCCAGTAGTCTGTTCTCCAAAACTCTCTCAAATATGTTCACTACCACAGTGGTTGCCAGGCGTTGCATGGAGTGTTTTTTTGACCTTTCACATGTTCACTTTTAAACGCTTGCCAAGAAGGCAGGAGTGCTAAAAACTCTTACATAAATAAGTGTATGCTTTTCAAAAATATGGTTCTTCAAGGGTTCTTTACTAAAGATAATGGTTCTTTTTAGAACCACGAGTTCTATTTAGAACCACTTCATGCTTAATCGGTTCTTTGCATGGTGAAATTGTTCTTCAGATTGATGGAGAATGTGTTGTATATGGTTCTACATAGCACCAAAAGGGTTCTTTTATTGTTACAAGCTTGACATCATAACACTAGAAGAACCCTTTTCGGTGCTATGTAGAACCGTTTTAAAAAAGTTTTATATAGAGCTATATACAACACATTCTCCATCAATCTGAAGAACACTTCAATCATGCACAGGGTTCTTTAAGTGTGGTTCTATACAGAACATCTACTAAAGAACCTTTGAAGAACGTTTTTAGATCATTTTTAAGTGTGTAGAATCAGTTCATGCTTAAATGGTTCTTCGCATGGTGAAATGGTTCTTCAGATTGATGGAGAATGTGTTGTATGTGGTTCTACACCAAAAAAGGTTCTTCTACTGTTACAAGCCTGATATCGTAACAACAGCAGAAGCCTTTGTGGTGCAATATAGAACCATTTTCAAAAAGGTTTTATAAAGAACTATATAAAGCACTATTTCCATTCATCTGAAGAACTCTTTCACTATGCAAGGAATCCTTTAATCATGCAAAGGGTTCTTTGAGTGTTCATGGTTCTATATAGAACCATTTTCTTTACTAAAGAGCCTTTGAAGAACCATCATTTTTCAGAGTGTAGAACAACTTCAAGCTTAAATGATTCTTTGCATGATGAAATGGTTCTTCAGATTAATGGAGAATGTGTTGTAAATGGTTCTATATATCACCAAAAGGGTTCTTCTATTGTTACAAGCCTGATATCATAGCAATAGCAGAACCCTTTGTGGTGGTATATAGAACCATTTTCAAAAAGGTTTTAAATAGAACAACATACAACACATTCTCCATCAATCTGAAGAAAGCTTAAATGATGCAAAGAACCCTTTAATCATGTAAATGGTTCTTTGACCGCTCATGGTCCTATATAGAAACATTTTCTTTACTAAAACCTTCAAAGGACCATCTTTATTAAGCGTGTAGGACTACTTTATGCTTAAGTGGGTCTTTGCATGCTATAATGGTTTACTAGAAGAACGCTTTTTGGCGCTATATAGGACCATTTTCAAAAATGTTCTGTGTAGAACCATATACAACTCATTCTCCATCAATCTGAAGAACCATTTCACCATGCAAAGAACCATTTAAGGATGAAGTGGTTCAACACTCTTAAAGAAGATGATTCTTTAGTAAAGAAAATGGTTCTATATAGAACCATGAACACTCAAGGAACTATCTGCATGATTAGAGGGTTCACTGCATCATGAAAGAATTCTTCAGATTGATGGAGAATGTGTTGTACACGGTTCTACATAGAACCTTTTTGACAAGGATTCCATATAGTATCACAAAGAGTTCTGCTACTGTTATGATGTCAGGCTTGAAACAACAGAAGAACCTTTTTTGATGCTAGAACCACATACAACCCATTCTCCATCAATCCGAAGCACCATTACACCATAAAAAGAACCATTTAAGTATGAAGTGGTTCTACACCAAAAGCTTGGAATGTGTTGTATGTGGTCCTATATAGCACCAAAAAGCTAGTGCTAAGATGTCAAGCTTGTAACATTAGAAGAACCCTTTTTGGTGCTATGTAGAACCATACACAATACATGCCACGCCTTTGGTTTAATAAATAATACTTGTTGTAGTAAAACAACAAAATAAGAAAACAAAGTTATCCAGCTCTTCCTCAGGTTGGAAGGTGAGTGTAAAAAAGAGGGAGTTTTTTTTTTGTTTAACTCTAACAGTTATTAAAAATTAACACAGATAAGTCAAATACAATATTTAATCATACTCAGAAAAGTGCAGCTCCAGGGTAAAAGGTACTCAAGTACTGTAATGAGAGTTTGCTGTGCAAACAGAGCAATACATAAACAGATGGTTATTCGGGGGGGCTGGTAACAGGCGCTAATGAAGCTAACGTGGCAGCTGGCAGATTGGGGGGGTCGGAGGTGGGACTCACAGTGTACGTCCAAGCGGTAGTGGCGCACCCTCTTCTGGCCCACCAGTGCCGGGTGAGACGCCTCGCAGCTCAGGGCGGCGCCGTTATCCTTCCTCTCCACGGGCAGACGGATGGTGTTGGACACACTCACCGTCTTCCCGTTCTCCTGCTGGGACACCACACCTGAGAGAAAGACACAGAGAGGTGTTACTATATATTTGGTACCACTTTGGTTCTAAAATCTGATTGGCTGAGCCGTGCTCGAAGCCGTTGTAAAATCCATGTAATACGCCTACATGACCACCTCACAACAACTGAACTGGGCTGGCAACTAATGGCTAGAACTAGGCTAGTCAGCTAGCTAACAGGCTAAAAGATAGCAAACATGCTAAACAACTCCATAATTAATATCACAGGTTTGAATTAAAGTACTTAAGAGATAATTAAGTGTAAAACGGCAGTATAAAAGTCTAAAAATGTCACTTGAATGTCTCACACGCTTCAAATGTTCGTGTTTCAGTCAGAAGTCACGTCAAACCCTGGCTGAATCCCAAATGGCTCTGTGCTCCCTAAATAGTGTTCTAGCTATGAAAGTTTAGAAATTCTAGCCTCTACAGATAAATATTACATCATTTATCGAGTGTGGATGTGGCTGAGTACCAAATGACTATTTTGCACCGTTGGGCTGCAGGATCCAGTATTTAAACTCCTGTGTAGTGCACTATGTAGGGAGCAGGGAGCCATTTGAGATTCAGCCCCAGCGTGAGAAGAGGGCGCCGCTGGATTGGTGCTAAATAAGACTCACCGGTGGTAATTTGGTGAAAAAAAAGTAATTATAAAGCAAAAGTTTAATTAAATGACCACAATATACAGATAATTATTAATCACAACATAAATTATTTTCTGCAGAATTGTGTATTTTATCATATTTTATGTTGGCTGCAGTTTTGGAAAAGCAGTAACTCACTTGAGGCCATGATTTAATGTGATTTTATCACAAGGGAAGGCAGTTTGACTCTGCTTTGTGTCATGCCTAACAACACCCTTTACCGTGATTAAATCGCAGTAATGCATGGCCTCTTGTGGTTTATTGCTTTATTAAAGACCTTGAAATCAGTGAAAAGCATTAACAACACATAAATATAAAAGGGCCACAGTGACCTGCTGTTTGCCTAATAGTGAACATACATCCATTGATGCTGTCAAACTGCAGATTTTGATGTTTACTCTTCATCAGTCAGCACTAAACCTGTTAGCCCTATTACAAATTCACATTCATCAGACATAACAGCTCACTTTTGCCCTTTTTATTAATATGTTATAACTGCATATTAATGATTAATAAAGTGTTTATGACTTAACTAATAACCATTAACAACCTTTATAAAGGTAGTCTTATTTTAAAGTGGTACCATATATTTCATTTAGATCATTTTTTGAAATACACCCCAGGGCTGGAGACTCACGATTTGGAAAATAAGTGTTGGATACGAACCAGCAGCGTTGGAAGCAAGCCTACCCTCAATTTCAGTACTGTCTTTAACATGCCCTCATCATTTTCACTTAAATGAATCACAGATGGCATCTTGAGGGACGTTCCGCTACTGTATTAGCCCAAGTGAAGCTTGTCAGGTCACCCCTAATTTTTATGAGGGACTCAGTCGATATAAATGTAGACTTCAGCAGCAGAACACGCACAGCTGCGTGCTGTCTGGCTTTGAAGAGATACAGACATAAGCGCCAACTATGGGGGGCCCTGAGTCGTCGGTCGCCTCAAAATTAAAGAAGCAATCCTAGCGCAAAGCTCCATTGAAGCCATGCAAGTGAAACTGCATAAAACAGCTGCTGCATTCAACAGTAGGGATTTTAAGCATGCATGGTCACTACAGCAACCAGGGAAACGATGGTGTTTTTAGCATGTGTGTGCTTTGTTCATGGGTTTTTCCCATCATGCAGTGAGGACTGTGCTGTTTACGTTGCTGATTATATTCCTTCCATATGATTTACTTGTATGTAATACTTTATATTGCCTACACATGCATGTGATGTCATCCACTCATCCCGAGCCTTCTGCTACTACAGAAGACTATTACATGCACATATTGTATAAGGTATTAACGGTTAATTAGCGCAGCTCATTACTGCTGTAAACCTCAATAAGGATGAGAGGGAGAGAGAGAGAGAAAGGGCGAGAGAGGTGTGGTGAAAGCTGGCAGGCTGAGGGGAAGTGTGGGCGAACGGAAGAACGAGCCAAATAACTTCAATTGTGTAACTATGGCACTGCTTTACGCTGGGGTGTGGAAGTGTCTAGTTTCAAGGCACACGTAGTCTGGCCTCCTCCACACAAGAAATGACAGGACCATAACGATGAGGAGTGGATGTTTTTGACCGCAGTAAAGTTTCCAGTCTATTTGCCAACATATATATCGCTGCTGTCAGAAGAAAACTTTGTATCTTCATTTTTGCCGTTTTTCAGTTTTCGGCATAATTTGAAAATTCCTGTTGGCCTTTACATTGTGTGTAAATTTCCTGAAGAATGGACCAAACGAAATGACCCAGAATGACTTGGAAAAAACGTCTGGTTCCATTGACTTACATTAAAATTAAAGTTTGTTTTTTCCCTCTCCCGTAAAGTTATCATTCTGGAGATATGAGGTTTTCTTCCGACAACAGCAATATACTGCGACTGATGTGTAAACAGCTGTTTTGAAACAGTAGTTTCAAAGAGTAATTCTATCAAATGAAATCATGATGAAATGTAAGACACAATGATGCACTGAATCGTTCTCTAAGGAATCATAATGGAATCAAAATATATTGTGGTGAAATGTGAGATTTCATTATGCACAAATCAAATCACAGAGATATTTTAGATCTCATGATGCACTTAATCATTACCTAAAAAATCACAATCAAATCGAATTAAACTGTGTTCAAATGTAAGATAGCAAAATGCACTGAATATTCCCCAGAAGACTTAATCAAGTCAAATCGTGTTGAAATTTAAGATCTCACAATGAGCTAATTTGTGGTAAAATTTGAAATACTGAATCTTTTCTTTTACAATCAAAATTTAATCAGTGGTTAAATTTGAGATTTCCCGACGCACTGAATCGTTTTCTAAGAAATCATTATGGAATCAAATTAAATTGTGATGAAATTTGAGATTTCATTATGCACAAATCAAATCATAGCAAAATTTGAGATTTCATGTTGCACTGAATCATTACTTAAAGAATCGTAATCGAATTGTGTTAAATTTTGAGATTTCTTAATGCACTGATTTGTTTGGTGAAGAATCATAATGGAATGAAATTGTGGTGAAATTTGATGCACAAAGTTGTGGGAAAATTAGAGATTTCATGATGCACTGAATTATTTCTTTAACAGTCTACATGTAATCAGTGGTTAAACTGGAGATTTCTTGATGCACTGAATCATTTCCAAAGGAAGCATAACATTATCAGTGGTAAAACTGAAGATTCTTTGAAGCACTGAATAGTTTCCTAAAGAATCAAAATGGAATCTAATTGAATTGTCGTGAAATTTGAGATTTCATGATGAACAAATCATAGTGGAATCTGAGATTCCATGATGCGTTGAATCATTTCCTAAAGAATCATAACTGAATCAAACTGAACTGTGTTGAATTTTGAGATTTTGCAATGCACTGAATCGTTTAGTAAAGAATCGTAACTGAATGCAAGTGTGGAGAAATTTGACACAAAATTTGTGGAAATTGTGGTAGAATTTGAGATTTCTTGATACACTAAATCATTTCCTAAAAATTGCACTTGAAGCAAACAAAATTGTAGTGAATCTTGAAACGTCATTATGCATCGGATCAATTTTTAAAGAATCGTAATCAAATTAAACTGCAGTGAAATTAAAGTTTTCTTAAAGCACTGAATCGTTTCCTAAAACTGGAATCAAATTTTGATGCATTGAATCATTTTCTAGAGAATCAAATCCAACTGTTGCGAGGTCAGAGATTTACACCCCTAATGAAGAGAGAAACAGAGCTGCCAGAACAGAGGGGGCACATGCACACTCAGAGGAGCTAGATGAGTATTTAAAATCCAGATGCACCTGCGTACAGCCCCCCTGGCACACAGCTGAGACCTCGTTTTTGTGTGTGTGTAATTGCGTCCAAGCAGGCGGACAGCCAGATGGACAGATGTGTCTAAGAGTAAGAAAAAAGCTACAGAGGGAGACGCGCTGACTCTCTGACAGACGAATGGCGCTTAGCCTGACGGAGAGATTAGAGGACAAAAGAGACACGGCCTACCGCCACAACGCAGGAGAGATAAAAGCAAAAAAGAGATATAAGAGCGCAGGGTGAACAGAAGTGTGGCGGAGAGGATGAAAGACTGAAAACCTGCTGGCCAGGGACTGATAGAAAGAATCTGTCGCCGATAGAAAGAGCGACTGACTGAATGAATGAATGTAAAGAGGTTCAGAGAGGAGTGGATCAAACTGGATATAATTAATCATGAGGGTGAATGTGTTCTTTTTTGCATACTTTCTCAAACTGAATACTGTATTCTGAATATTATTTAACCTGAACATGCTGAAAAGACACAACTATCATAATTACAATACTTATCAATCTGAACAGATTCAGATTCTGATTCTAGTATTCTAATTCTGACTCTGAGTCAGATTCAGATTCTGATTCTAGTATTCTAATTCTGACTCTGAGTCAGATTCTAATTCTGAGTCTAGTATTCTGATTCTGATTCCGAGTCAGATTCAGATTCTGATTCTAGTATTCTAATTCTGATTCTGAGTCAGATTCTGATTCAAGTATTCTAAGCCTGATTCTGATTCTTCTGTTTTAATTCTGAATCTGAGTCAGATTTTGATTTTGATTCTAGTATTCTAACTCTGAATCTCAGTCAGATTCTGAATCTGATTCTAATATTCTAATTCCGATTCTGAGTCAAATTCTGATTCTGATTCTAGTATTCTAAGTCTGATTTGGATTCTTCAATTTTAATTCTGATTCTGAGTCCAATTCTGATTCTAATTCTAGTATCCTACTCTAATCCTGAGTCAGATTCTGATTCTAGTATTCTAACTCTGATTCAGAGTCAGATTCTAATTCTGATTCTGAGTTTAATTTTGACTCTGACCTTAAATCTGATTCTAGTATTTAAAAATTGACTTTATTTCTGTTTCTGGCTGTGATTCTGACTTTTATTCATTTCTAATTATGATTATGATTCTATTTCTGATTCTGATGATGACTGATTATTATTGTAGTATTCTAATTTTGATTTGATTATGATTCTATTTCTGATTCTGATGATGACTGATTCTAATTTTGATTCTAACTGTATTCTAATTTTGTTTCTGACTTTAATTTTGACTTTGATTCTGATATTAGTATTGTAATTCTGATTATGAGTTTGATTTTGATTTTGATTATGTCTCTGACTCTGTTTCAGGTCCTGAACCTAATTCTAGCTCTGATTGTGATTCTAGTATTCTAATTTAATACAGATTATGATTCTATGATTCTGATTTTGATTCAGACTGACTTTGTGATTCTGGCTTTGATTCTGCATTTGATTCTGAATCTAATTCTAATTCTACTTCAAATTCCAATTCTGACCTTGACTCTGTTTCAGACTCCTATTCTAAACTCCTATTCTGATTCAGGCTTTGACTCTGACTTTGAATCAGATTCTGAGTCTAATTCTGAGCTTGATTCTGACTCTGATTGTAAATCTGATACCAGAATGATGAAACATGAATCATCAAACTGAATCATGGTGAAATCTGAAAAATGAATAGTTTTCTAAAGAATCATAATCAATCTTTGGATGCACTGCCACACATACACTCACACACACACACTCACCGGGTATTTCTCGGCGGTCTCTGACCCAGCGCAGTGTGGCGGGGGGTTTGCTGCGGGGGGACAAGCAGGTGAGCTCTACCTCTCCGCCCTCCACTGCCTCTGTCTTCACCTCCACTGAGGGCACCTCCGGGGGCACCACCACCGACAGTGTGGCCACCTGGTGGTGTGTGTCGTCAGTGTATAGCTGGCAGAAGTAGCCGCCCTCATCCGACACACTCACGTTGCTCAGGGTGATGCGCACCAGACGCGGCGTGAAGAGAACCATCTGAAAACGGTCGTCTTTCAGCGCTGGAGAGAGAGAGAGAGAGAGAGAGAGAGAGAGAGAGAGAGAGAGAGAGAGAGAGAGATTCACTGTCAGCGATACAAAGCACAGACAAATCCTAATCAAGAACAAGTACAGGCTCAGTGACCACAGTCTAGCCACAGAAATTGGAAGCTGAAAAAATATCTCTGCTTCCCAGAGAGAAAACACTACACTCCCTGTCCACTTTATTAAAAACCCTTATCTTGTACTTCCACTCACTGTCCACTTTATGAGGTCCATCTAGCTTACAGGTCCACTATATAGGTACAATTACAGACTGTAGCCAACTCGTTGCTGCACAATTTATCTGTCCCCCTCTACCCCATTATTATAGGTCAGTTCCTGCCTTGCTGTGCTGTTGACCAGATAATATTTGGGTAGTGGGAAATTTAACTGACTGGAAATTAAAGATATAAACCATTCTACCAAATTAGTTCAAACCATAGTTCCACAGTTAAAAAAACTGTGTGAAAAACGTTGACGTATTCAGACCTTAGATACTTATAAGGATTATGCCATGATCTATTTAAACCCAATGCAATAATTGAAATTTATACAAAATCATAACTCTTGGGGTACTTTCTGTTGAGAGCTGTCTGTCCCAAACCCTAACCCCTAAATTTCAACTTGTGAAAAAAATATATATACATATGTTTGTCAGAACAAAACCTCATACCTCCAAAATGAGAAATTTACAGGAGAAGTAAAAAACGTTCTCTACTTTTAATGTAAGTCAAAGGAACCAGAATATTTTTCCAAGCAATTTTGGGTCATTTCTGTTGATCCATTCATCATGAAATTTACATACAATGTAAAAGACAATGGGTACTTTCAGATTATGTCAAAAATGGAGATATGAGGTTTTGTTAGCAGCGATACAGAGCCTTATTTTAGCCACACCCCTGCATTGTAGAGCAGGAAGTAAGACTGCATCCCTGTCCCTCATGGCCACATGGTCAGCAGTTAGATCCCATTGTTTTGCAGTACATGTGTCCCAAAGTCTGAAAATCAGTGTTAAACATTAAGAACTATCACTATAGAAACACATATTTTGTGCATTTAAACGTTTTCATGAAAAATATTATAATTTTACATGTGTACAGCTGTTCAAAGCCATGTCTGCTAGTCATGTACTGACTAGCATTTTGAGTTCTGCTCTAAATTGGATAAAACAGTCAATACTGAAACATTGGGTAAAGTTTCAGTAGTGCCAAACTGGAATGTTGAATCATTTATTTTAATAAAATAAATGTAAATAAGGTATAGGGTCACTCAAAGCAAAAGGATTTAAGTCGATAACACTTTATTTGGATAGTCTACTTTAGATGCTTGTAGGTACTTAATAGACCATTAAGTTACATTGAACTAAATATCTATTAAACTGACTTTAGCTCTAAACCTGGCTCTAATCTTAACCCTGACCTTAACCTCTACCCAAAACCTAAACCCAACCCTCACCCTGGTCCTAGCCCTAACCCTGGTGCAAATCCTAACCTAACCCCACCACCGTTCAGAACTAAGGACTACTGTTACAGGACCACTGTTGACTCTGATTCTGGTTTTGATTCTGAATCTGATTCTGATTCAGACTCTAATTCTGATTTTGATTCAATATAAGGTCCACATACCTTGCATGTCCACTACATAAGTGTATAATTTCAGACTGTAGCCCATCTGCTGTTGAAAAATGTATCAGCTCCCCTCTACGCTAATCCTTACTGGTCAGCTTCTGACCACGTGACCTGACCAATATGCACCTGATATTATTTGGGTGGTGGATCATTCTCAGCACAGCAGTGACAGCAAACATAGAAGTGCTATGGTAGGGTGTAGGGCTGGCATGGGTGTACAAGGCACAGCACAGTGTTGCTGGCATATTTACACAGTGGTTTAATTTCCAAAACATTCCTTAATATAAAAGATTTTCATTTTTCAGGAGATATTTCTGAGGAGATGAGATATAAGACAATTCAATGGCATAAGGAAGGAGTAAATCAAAGGCAAATAAGTGAAAAAACAAGAGTTTCTGAAGTAGGACATGAAAAAATGATGAAAAGATGGGAAGATGATGAAAAATGGGATTCCTAACAACCACTTGGAAGACTCTGTTGACCACTAAATCTGTCATCATCAGATAAACAGTACTTCAAGCTTTCATCTTTGAGAGAGAGGAGAAAATCAAGCTGCTTCAGATCTGAAACAATCCACAGTCCATCCTTGCACTGCGAGAAGATAACTCAACACTATGAGTCTGAAAGCTGTCAAGAACCCTTCACTGAGAAAAGTAGATAAAAGAAACGAAATAATTGAATCAAATTTCAAAGAAGCTGCTGGTGTTCTCAGTATGAACTGGTCACCCCAGTGTCCACACCTCAACATCACTGAAAGTGTTTGAGATTACTTGGAACTTCTAAGATTTTGGAGGCATGAAAAATTTTGTTGCTTTTCTTGCTTGTGTGCTTGGGATCACTGTCCTGCTGCATAACCCTTGAGCTTTAGATCACAGACTGATAGGCATACGTTCTTCTTCAGGATTTTCTGATGGAGAGCAGAATTCATGGTTTCATCAATTATGACATGTAGTCCAGGTCCTACAGAAGCAAAGCAGCCCCAGACCATCACACTACCACCACCATGTTTTACTGTTGGTATGATGTTCTTATGATGGACTTTGGTGTTAGCTTTATGCCAGATGTAATAGGATCCATGTCTTCCAAATAGTTCCACCTTTAATTCCATTAATTTAATGCCATTTTTGTCCTGTGTCTTTTTCATTGTGTAAACATGTACACTGACTTTAACTGAGGCAAGTGAGGCCTGCAGTTCTATAGATGTTCTTCTGCGTTCTTTTGTGACTTCATGGACGAGCTGCCTATACGCTTTTGGTGAAATTTTAGTAGGCCAGCCACTCCTGGGAAGGTTCACCACTGTTCTAAATTTTCTCCATTTGTGGATAATGGCTCTCACTGTGGTTTACTGGAGTCCCAGAGCCTTAGTAATGGCTTTGTAACTCTTTCCAGGCTGGTAGATTTCAATGACTTCGGTGTTTAAATCTCTTTAGAACGTGGTGTCATGTGCTGCTTTTGGAGACCTTCTAACCTGCTTCATATTGCTAGACAGGTTCTGTTTAAATAATGTTTATATTATACAGGTCTGGCAGTAATCATGCCTGGGTGTGGCTAGTGAAATTGAACTCAGTGGTCAACTGAATTTGTTTAATTGCTTAATTTAGTAGCTAAGGGGCAATTACTTTTTTCACATAGTGCCAGGTGGCAATTACTTTTTCACATAGGGCCAGGTAGGTATGTGTATTTCTACAACCCCATTTCCAAAAAAGTTGGATCGCTGTGCAGAATGTAAATAAAAACAGAATGCAATGATATGCAAATCATATAAACCCAATATTTAAATGAAAATACTACAAAGACAACATATTAAATGTTGAAACTGAGAAATTTTATTTATTTATTTTTTTAAATATATGCCCATTTTGAATTTGATGCCAACAAAACGTTCCAAAAATGGGGGCATGTTTACCACCGTGTTTCATCACCTCTTCTTTTAACAACACTCTGACTGAACGTGATATGTTGTCCCATTCTTTCTTAACATAGGATTTCAGCTGCTCAACAGTTCAGGGTCTCTTTTGTCATATTTTTCATTTCATAATGCACCAAATGTTATCAGTGAGTAACAGGTTTGGACTACAGGCAGGTCAGTTTAGCAGCCAGACACTTTTAATATGAAGCAATGCTGTTGCAATACATGCAGAATGTGGTTTGACACTGTCTTGTTGAAACAATCAAGGACTTCCCTGAAAAAGACACTATCTGGATGGCAGCATATGTTACCAAAACATGTATGTTTTGTTCAGCATTAATGGTGTCTTCACAGATGTGCAGGTCACCCATGCCCTAATGCACTAATGCACCCCTATAACATCATGAATACTGGCTTTTGAACTGTGCACTGATAACAAGCTTAGTGGTCTTTAGCCCAGTGGACACAGTGTCCATAATTTCCAAAAAGAATTTCAAATGTTGATTTGGCGGACCACAGGACACTTTTCACACTTCACCTCAGTCCATTTTAAATGAGCTCAGGCCCAGAGAAGGCGGTGGCGTTTTTTTATACGTTTTGTCTTTGCATGTTCTCTGAATCTTTTAATGTTATGTTGTACCGTAGATGATGAAAAGCAAAAGTTCTTTGCTATTTTACGTTGAAAAATGTTATTCTTGAATTGTTGCATTGTCTTTCACAGAGTGGTGAACCCCTCCTCATCTTTACTTCTGCAAGACTCAGCCTCTCTAGGATGCTCTTTTTATACACAACCATGTCACTGACCTGTTGCCAATTAACCACCAGATGTTTTTTTTTAGCTTTCGTTGACCCGTCCCAACTTTTTGGAATGTGTTATTGGCACCAAATTCCAAATGGGCATACTTTTCAAAAAACAATAAAATTTCTCAGTTTTAACATTTGATATGTTGTCTTTGTACTATTTTAAATTACATTTAGGGTTTAAATGATTTGCCTATCATTGCATTTTGTTTTTATTTACATTTTGCCCACTGTCCCAACTTTTTTGGAAATATGGTTGTATATGTGTGTGTGTGTGTATATATATAAACAGAGAGAGAAAGAAAGACAAGTACTGAAGTATCGTTGCTTGTAATTGCTATTGCTTTGGCAATATTGCAGGCAAAGCAGTGATGTCAATAAAGCCCACTGGACCGAAACAGAGAACGAGAGAGAGAGAGGTAGGGAAGAGCAAAAGAAACAGAGAAAATGTCGATGCGAATCGGCCCCAAATCAAGATTACGTATTGGCAACCTATCTGATGACAGTCAAACATGCTGAGGACCATGCTGATGATGTAGAGACTCATTGAGCAGTCTGGATGCTGCACACTGACCAGGCTAGTTAGTGAGGACAGGCAGTGCTCTCACTGTATGAGTACGATTTAGACAAATATATTCTGTAA